GAATCATCCAAGAAGCTGAATTGAGTGATGCTGAATGGGTTCGCAAACGGATTGACCAGCTAACATTGATTGATGAGAAGAGAATGGTTGCCATTTGTCATGGTCAACTGTATCGATAGAGAATGATTCGTGCTTTTCACAAGAAAGTAAGAGCCAGAACATTTGAAGTTGGTCAGTTGTTTCTCAAACACATTTTCCCTCATCAGGATGAGTACAAAGGGAAATTCGCACCAAATTGGCAAGGACCCTACATGGTTCGCAAAGTATTATCCGGAGGTGCCTTGGTCCTGTCGGAGATGGATGACACCGAATGGCCAAAACTGATCAACTCAGATGCTGTCAAGAGATACTATGTGTGAAGCTTCAGTTCGTATTTCTGTTTATTTCCTTGTAATCGTTTTATTTGCTTGTAATTGCCTTGTTCAGAATTTTATCCCTATTGTACTTGAACTACGTCTGACCTGAATTCTCAAGAATGAGATACGTAGGTGGCCTATGTCGGCATCGGTCACCCCCTTTTATCCCTTTTAATATTTCCTTGTACTTGAACTACGTTCGACCTGAATTCTCAAGAATGAGATACGTAGGCGGTCTATGTCGGCCTCGGTTGGTCTCTTTGTAAATTTCTTATTTTGTTAGTCATTGAGGGGGGAACTACGTTTGACCTGATTCCTGCCTTAACGGGATACGTAGGAGCCACAATGGCTCGATCATATCTCCCGAAAGATTTCTCTTTTTCCTTTACAATAGAAATCGGGACAGAATTTTTGAGAGGGACTCAAAAATTCTCCAGAAGAAAATCTCTCCAACAAAGTAAGGACTGAAGTTACTTTGAGATTTGTAACTGGGACAAAATTTTGGAAAAGATCTCAAAAATTCATAATTTACTCATCAACAGTTCAAGATACGCCAAGACAGTTAACTGGGACAACATTTTTTGAGGAGGACATCAAAAATTTTCAATAGGGTTCATCGGAAGTTTAGAACAACTTTGAATACTTCCCAGCAAGTAATCAGATAAACCTCAAGACACCAACGTCAAAGACGTTCATTAAGCTTGACGTGACATGACACTTGGCAGTGACCTTTTTCGAACATTACTTTTGAAAATTTATTTTCCTTAAAAACTTTTCTTTCATGTTTCAATTATTTTTGCATAAAAATGCTTCGTCCTATCTATCAAGAAGTGGGAGATCGGAGAAATCAACCAGAGACAATAAAACAAGAAGCAAACGATCGAAGAGATCGACACAGACCAGTTCATTTTTAAACTGACAATTTTTCTGTGGATGCAGGTCTGTAAGCTTGTCTCAGGATCAGCATATTCCTCAATTCAATGAATGTGGAGAAGTCGAAAGGGGAAGAAACTCCTTAAACTTGACAATTTTTTCTATGGATGCAGGAAATATTTTAGGCTTCTTATGACAAAGAATTGGGAATATGAATAGCATTATTCAAATTCTCAACAAGGCGAGGTCCATAACGAATATGCAATTATGTTCGGAAATGGAATAAAGGAAAACCTCGAATAAAGAAATTTTATTTATTTTCCAGCAACTAAAGATACTTTGAGGACATTATCTACACCATATTATCGGACATGATAATATTACTACTCGGAGAGTCATTTATATTGTATTGTCAAATGAGATGATACCACTACTCCGAGGCTCATCTTTAGTTATATTGTCGATTGAGATGATACCGCCATCCAAAAGATACCTAGAAGATCACTTATGTTGCTCGGTGAAGCATTATCTTCGTTCGGTATCAAGGAGGCATCATAAAAAATTCATGCATAGCAAAAGAAGATTCATGCATCGCGAGAAAAGGGATTCATGCATCGCGAGAAAAATGTCATGCATTGCGGGAAAATTTTCATGCATTGCAAAAGAAGATTCATGCATCGCAAGAAAAGGAATTCATGCATTGCAAGAGAAAGAAATCATGCATAGAAAGAGAAAGATTCATGCATTGCAAGAGAAAGATTCATGCATCGCAGGAAAAGCCATGTGTCGCGAGAAAAGATTCATGTATCGTAAGAAAAGAAGTCATGCGTCGCAGAGAAAAAACCATGCATCGAGGAAAAAGATTCTTGCATTGCAAGAGAAAGATTCATGCATTGCAAGGAAAAGTCATCCTCAACTGCAGTTTTCGAGGAAACATCACCTGTATTTTTCAAAGAAGCATTATCTTCATGCATTGCAAGAGAAGTCATGCATCGCAAGAAGATCAACATTGACTGCATCATTTTCCTTGCAAAAAAGGATATCAAGAGAATCATCAACAACGACATCAGGAGAACAATCGACATATTACATCAGCTTATTTTATTACTTTGACATCAAAGGAAGAGTACATTGAAAGTTACATCGCAAATATGACACACAAGCTTTATTTGCTTTATGTCAAGCTCGATGGAATTGATGTTAAATGTTCAAGGAGAGCAATCAAGTGTCAACATGGTGAAAGACACCATCTCCCATTTGAATTGTTTTTTTATGCTAATGAGTTTTATCTCAATCTTCGTCGAGAGCAACCGAAAGGATGAATTCTCCAAAACAAACCACAGGTGCACACGACATCAAAAAGGATGCAGCACAACGTGAAATTTTTTCTTAGCAGCGAACTGGGACATAGTCCAAAGAGGAGTGTCAAACTCTTAGGACGTGAGCAGATGAGCGACTTCCACCACAATCAAACCACACCCCTATCAGAAGGCATGTGAGTTTTTCCTTAGGATTCTTGGTTTCAATTTTGCATCCGAAAAATTTTGTTTTCACCGGAGGCAACTTTCTAATCTGAATGACAATACACCAAGACTTGAAAATTATATTCGTGTAAATTCTTACTTATGGGTGTGAAGTGCACCACATTCATGGCTAAGAGGTTACAAGCCTCTTTTTCGTACTCGACTGATTTGTCACTCTTCTAGGACCAAAGGTAATCTAGCATAATAGATTTCTTTTTCAACCGATTGAGTCGAACTACAAACAACCTAATTTCCTAAGGTGAGGGATATGTAGGCGGGATCAATGATGAAACTCGATGTATTCCAACATTCGCTCTTAAATCTTATTCCCGAGCATTTCGATCCCTTCATAATTCGGTATCGGGATAGTTTTTGAATACTTTCAAAATCGTGCGTCAAATCAAGCGTATAGAACTACAAGTGGCCTGAATTCTCATATATCCTGAGATATGTAGGAAACCCGATTTCTGGGTTCGGCCATAATTCTTAAAGCTTGTACCAAAACACCTTTCCAAAATGATCAAGATGTGTTCGGTCAAAACTGGATTTGTCAATTTCGTTTGCCTTGAATTTTTTCCATCAATCCAAGTCAAACGAGGGACAGCTGTTGACACCCAATTTTGACCCTCCACAATATAAATTAATCATTTCGAGCTTCTCCAATTTCAAACGATTTAAAATAATTAGTTTGTAAAATTTCCAAAAAAAATAAAAATAATAATATTAATAAAGAAAAATAATAGAGTTTGCAAGTTAGCTTAAATAGTTGTGTCATTTTTGCAATTTTTAAATAATATATGTGTTTTATATAATTATGTATATAATTAGCATATTTTAAGAATATTTGAAAATCATCACAAAAGATTTTACATTTAGTTAAATATTTTATTAATTTAATTTAGTTTAAATTATAGTTATAATTTTGAGTTAATTAGGTTGTAATTAAATTAATTATTTTATTTCGTTAAGAATAAGAAGCTCTTTGATTAATTAATATTAACTCATCTTGTTTAAATTTTAGTCCGCATTCGCCGATTAAATTCAATTTGGCTACAATTTAAATTCATTTGGCTATTGTGTAATTGCAATGCTAGCCACTTCTCACCTTATCCTTAATTCATTGTTGAGATCAGAAATTGGGCCATTTACTTGCCATATTTCAGCATCCCACTTCAATGTTCCCAACCCATTCTTTCAACTCCCAATTCCCAACCCACTTTCAATTCAATACCAAAGAAACCATCAGCAAACACATTACCCAGCAACAATAATATACCAAAACAGGACCCGACCCACCCCTGCATCTTCCTCGTGAGAACAACGAGCAAATCGCGCTTCAAACCTAGAAAACGCGTCCAGCAACAGTGATACGAGCAGCGAATCCAAGAAACCCGGAAATC